TCAGGATTGCCAGCCAGCTGATCCCACAAGCAATATAGCATTGGCCAAAGCAACTAGAAGAGTTGTAGCTGTACAATTCGAAAATTACACTACGGAAAGAGTGGAAAAGTCGAGAAGAGCTAGAAAAAACTCATAGCATGATCCACTGGAATCATCCGAAGTCTCGGTATGAGGCCATCTCTGTTGCCGAGGTTATGCCTGGATACGATTAGAAAATTTGGATAAACCAGGAAATTACTGAGGATGTGTTACAGCAACAAAACGAATCTGTACCGAGTGCCAAGTGGTGCACCTCAAATTTGATCTCACTGACCGGGTCTTGACCTTTTTGCCTGGGAACTGGATCTTTTTAAAGAGAGATTTAGGTGTGTGGGATTTAGGCTCAGTACCATAGTCTGTCCCCCAGAAAATAGTGATAAATCGAAGTGCTTCAACAGTTTAAGTTTTCCAGAGCGAAGCGAAAGTTTTACTCACAATTCATTTTTTTTTAAACTAAAAATTCATTTTGTGATTTTTGATTAAATTTTTGCTTGGATTGACTGTAATTCATTGGCTGGTTCTCTATCTACGCACTGGACAACTTTTCCAGTTGTTTTGACCAAAGCTGCATCGTCTAATGGTCAGTAGTAATCTGTTGGCGATTCTGACGTCTTTTTCGTCTTCGGAATAATAGGAGCACAAATTTGGGAAGAAAATCAGCACAAATCTACAATTTTATTACCTGTGTTTTGCCAGCAGCAACACCACCAACAAATTCGGTTATTTCTCCCTTAATAACACCACCTTTCAGGAGACTATCAATATCTGGGCAGCCGCTTTTCAGCAGAAGCCATGGCGCTCCGAGTCTCAAGAACAGGTCAAGCCCCGTCTCTTCCTCGTATTCCACACCACCGTTATCCATGTGAAATCAATCAAATTTAGCGGCTTTTTTTCATCTGCAAAGCAAAGCTATAGCTACCCCCAAAATCTTAAGTAGATTCTTCAGGCTGATTTGTTGCTTCAGGGGATGACCAAAAAGGAGTTTTCTGCCGATCTTTCCATTACAACAACACTTCGCTCGCCCCTTTTAACACTGGAATCCGTTTTAGTAGAGCTCTATGGAACCACTGAAATCCCCGAGATATGAAAATGACGTATCCGCATCTCCGATATTACCCTGTTGTTAGCAATAGAACACGGTACCATGACGGGTGGTTATTTGACGAAAGCAGAAGAGCGAACGCTGGCTGTGACGGAGAGACAATGCAGCGATATTTAAATTTCATGACCATGGAACAAGATTAGACGCCAAGACAATAAAATGCATGGCACAACAAAAGACAAATTTTTTTTCAAGTGTTTTATATGAACTCCCGAGTGCTGAACTCCCATGAACGACTTACACAATACAGCTGAAAACACAAGGAAGGGAACCATTTCGGTAAGCCGTGTATGAAGAGCACGCGCGGATTAACCGGAATTAAATATCATTGGAGAAGAGATATGCCTCGATTCTGCGCTGTGGAGGGAAGGAATCGTGGAAACTGGATAGTGAAGCTTCTAAGAAAGCCATATTGCTCAGTCATCGTGAATCCTCATCCTGTAATTTATGAGTGATAACCACTCAGCCATCAATCCTCCATCCCATGGATTCTAACTGTTTGACCAGTGAAGTTGACGGTCATTGAACCCTGCACATCCTATCCATTGTCTAACTTGCATTTTCAATGAACAACCGATCCCAGAAATTATTCATCCCTCTTCATGCAAAATTTATGGCAATCATGCATGCTGGAGGTTAAGATTTCACGTGGCCCCAAAATCTGAAACTGCCATCTCACCCACGCACACCTGGGACACGCACTGCACAATTCAAGAGTGATGACCACAAAATAACTCAACCAATGCATAAGAAATCATACACTGGGTCATGTTCTGAAAGAATCCAAGAAGAAGTCCACTTTATTGGTGAAAATTTTTTGTTTTTAAATAGTCAGCAACACTACATACACACAATTTACTCCTGTAATTGCTGACAATAGATGTAAAATACATAGGTTATGAGCAAAAAATGAGTGGACTACGGAAAATATATGTG